ATGAACAGCAGTCGATCTGCGCACGCAAGGAGGTGCTTTTCCTATTCTTCTTCTGGAAAAACGAAAGAGAGCTTCAAAACAGACTGCAGCGCCATCTGAAGCAAAGAGCATACTTCCTGCGGACACTTTTTAGGCTGAGTGACCCATCTTGTCTTGTACTATCTTTGATACAAGTCAATGACCCTACACCCTGACTGTAGGCCGTCAGGTAAAAGAAATAATATTATTATAAAAAGGCTTTTCTTTTAAGAACGGCTTTTGATTTCCTGTAAGCTGGACTTCGAAATGTGATTCTAAAAACAAACCCCTGTTGAATTGTTTTTTTCATATTGTTTGTAATTAAAATTGAGTAAAGAGGAGTATTTCCCTATAATATATAATGATATAACATTTTTCGAGGTTGTTGCATCATCATATTATTGAAAGGCGCTAATTCTCCCAAGTAGGAAGAGCTTTTTTCTGTCTTACAAGCGATAATATTAAAAAAAAAGTAGCGTACTTAGTACTTACTTCTCAGTCCCACTTTGTAACAGTCAATGAGTAAACATAATTTGCATTGTCTCGTTGTCTAAAGCATTCTTGTACGTACACTGTTGTGGCTAGTTTGACTATCTCTCAAAACAAAATGTGTTTATTCCATTTATCTTTATTCCAAGTCTGGCTCAGACTGTAATAAAGCTAATGGTTTGTTTGAGTAAAGAGAAGCACTCCGACACAATAATGATCATCCAGTATTCGGGACAAATAAGACGGACAGAAAGAAACAGCAGAAGAAAAGTAGAGATGTAGGACCTACCAGTGGCGCCCTCCAGTCCCCGCCTAATAAAGCAACAATTTTCACATTTATTATTAACAAAGACAATGAGAAACCATTGCTATTATGTCAAAACCAAATTTTACAAAAGAACACAACACAAATTGGCAGTCAGTGCGGCTTCTGATCACACTGGTTGTTTGAAAAAGAATAGAACTTCTTTGAGGCTGGTAACTTAAGTGTTAAGAAAGGTGTCTTTACACAAGTTTTAAAAGGGGTCAACGTAGACGCCTCTCTTAGAGCAGGCACAATGAGGAAATTCCACGCTGAGTGAGAAGAAAAAGTCATACCTTGAAATTGAAACATCACGCACGTAGTAAGTCCGGGGGGCTTTTTTCTACGTAACATGGATAGACAATTGTATTTAACTAACAATGCATCAAATAGAAACGTAAATATCAAGCCTTTTACGATACGGCAGGTTCATTTAAGAGGCGGGGCATCACACTTTAATGTCCGTCTCCTATAAGACAGAATTACAATCATAGATAACCATTAACGCTCCTTAAGCAACGTTAATTCAAACGTTTAGTTTGATTTTAGTCTGAGTTTTACGACAGTAACAACAATATGATTAAAGTCTTACAAGTCCCCGGGGGAGGGGTGGGGGTTTCATGGTCTTGAGGTTAAGTTGTTCGTCTCTCTTTCAATAGATTGTGGGTTCGAATTGGGATAGCGAAGGACAATTTTCTTCTCTAAAATTCTCTCCTTTTGGTATTCTTTCCGGCTAAAATAGAACTGCAGTCTGGAACTTCAGACGTAGATCAAAGCACAGTACAAAAGGGTTAAACATACTGGGTTCGAATCTTAGTTTTTCACGCCCCAGTTCTGTTTGTTACCGATCACTCCGCAGAGACCAACCTAATTCGATCGTAATTCGACCTAAATCAGCACTGGAGTCTCGGGTACAGACGTGATCATGAGTGTGGAGTGTGTGTGTATAGGAGAATTGGGGAGGTCGGAGGGGTCGGAAATGGGAGAGAGTGTGAGACAGAGAGAGAGTGGGAGAGAGAGAGAGAGAGAGAGAGA